GAGGGTGTAAGATCCAGCATACTGGGTGCATGTGTTTAAACGCTTGAAGAGCTTTTTCGGATCTAGGGTGCAGGGTTTAGGGCTCGGCTGTTGTAGGCCTAGGGCGAGACGAACATCGGACAAGCCTGATGGGGCCCTGCTGCTGAAGCTCCTGCCTGGGGAAAAGTCCTCGTTTCCTCGATTTTAGCGCTGTATGTACGTCCGTCAGAAGCAGCTATGGCTATAACTTATAGTTTGTGTAAGGGTCCCAAAGTCAGTATAGGGGGAGCCATACTTCCCCTGATCCTTGGAGTAAGTGTGGATCTTCCGTTGCCTGGAGTGTTCTGCGGAGCCTTCAAGCACGTACACCGGTGTCTTCAGGTGTAGTGTTGACCCAGACCCCCGGAAGGATCTAGAAAGTAGAACCCCTTAATTATTTGGGACCCCATACTACTAAGGGCTCTTTATAGGAACCCCTATTGAGGGATCTAGTTTTTGGATCCTCCCGGGGGTCTGGGGAAGAGCTCAGATTCGGATTCGGGCTTGCGGATTCTGAGCCGTCAGGAAGGGCCAACATCACTTGCAGCCTGTTGCGCCCAAGCCTGCACCCGTTCCTTAGCAGCCTCGGTACCAAATGGGAGTTTCCGAAAATACGGGGTACTTTATTTTGGGGTCCTTATAATAAGGTTCCAACTAAGTCCTACTATTTAGGGTACGATATTAGGGTCCCCTCTTTTTGGAAACTCCCAAATGGTCTATGGTCAGCTCCGTGGGTTTGTGCGCAACAGGGGGCCTGCGGAAGTTTTAGATGGCTGGCGCCTGCTTCGCATCAGACAGCCCGTGCGAAAACACAGCATCTTAGGCTGCGCAAAGAAGCTTTTCGCGGCGATGCAGACGCTGTTAGCCGGCCACGGACCATCTATGGCAGTCTCTGCAGGCTATCTAGACACCTGTGCAGTAAAGTCGGATGGTCGTCTCGTGTGCTTTGGAGGCAACTCGGACGGCGAGTGTGATGTGCCGGCAGCCTTGGGGCCAGTTGTGTCCACCTCCGCAGGCTTTGACCACTCCTGTGCTGTTAGCAGCGATGGGAACCTGGTTTGCTTCGGGTGCAACAGGTTTGGCAAGTGCGAGGTGCCCCCGAACTTGGGTCCGGTCGTGGCCGTCTCAACCGGATACTTGCACACCTGTGCGGTACGGGCGGATGATCAGCTGGTCTGCTTTGGGCATAACTTGGAGGAGCAGTGCGAAGTGCCAGCAGACTTGGGGCCAGTGGCGGCAGTCTCTTAGATAACCAATGGGAGAACTTTAAACTTTTTGGCTTTATATATTAAGTCTATCCTAAAAAGTTTGAGCTTTTTTGGGCCTGGTTGTTGAAGAAGAGAGGTCTCTGCGGGATACTCTCACACCTGCGCCGTGAGCGAGGCCGATGGTGGCTTAAAGTGCTTCGGGAAACAGGCGAATGGCCGATGCGACGTACCCTCAGACCTAGGACCTGTTATGGCAGTGTCTGCAGGGTACTCGCATACTTGTGCCGTCAGGTTAGATGGCCAGCTGGTCTGCTTCGGAAGCAACTCGGATGGTAAGTGTGATGTGCCACCGGACTTGGGACCAGTTGTAGCAGTCTCTGCCGGCAATTCCCACACCTGCGCTGTGAAGATCGATGGTGAGCTAGTTTGTTTTGGGCGAAACAGCTTCGGACAGTGCGATGTACCAGCCGATCTAGGCCCGGTTGTCGCGGTCTCGGCTGGATATCTTCACACTTGTGCCCTGCGGATGGACGGTCAACTGGTCTGTTTTGGAGACACCAGGTTCGGTAAGTGTCGCGTGCCACCAGAGTGGGATAGGGTTTAAGGACTTAGGGTTTGGGGTTTAGGGATTTAGGGATTTAGGGCTTGAGGCTTAGGGTGATCAAACGCTATATACACCATCGAACTGAAGCGCATGCTGAGCCCGAGGCACAGAATTTGTTTCATCTTTGCGCCCGAATATCAAAAGATCGCATGTCCGGCCGCATTGCAGACGTATGTGCAAAAGGAGTCAGGCACATTTCTTCCACAACAAGATTCGATGTGCCAGGGCTGAACTCAGCTATAAGCCCGGAATCCCCAGCAACGATCAAGCCGATGAACACAGCAAAACTGGCGAGTACGAGAATGCGCTTCTTCGGGTTTTGCAAGCTCCAAGACCCACACGATGCCATGCATTGCAGCAATTGCATCTGCCGAGTCAAGAGTAGCTTCGGCTGTTCTATACAAGTCTCTCTGTTTCATGCGATTGAACCAACTATTTTAAAGGTCCATGTGCCCAACTAGTGACTAGTGTATACGGCCCTTAAGGTACCTACTGTTTTAGGGTGGCGAGAGAGTGCCTGACAGTGCCTGCAGGAGAACCGGTTTGGGGTTGGCGGGTTTAAGGTTTACAGTTTACGGTGTAGGGTCTAGTAACAGGGAGTTAAACAGTCACAGCACCAGCCAACGGCACGCTGGCCTACCGACAAACATAGCAGCAAGCACAGTTTACAACACTGCGTTCAGGCATTCTGTGTCGTACTGACCCTTGCTGCTTGCCCTCATCTTTGCAAACAATCCGTGGGATTGAAAAACTAACTACAGCACCTCTGGTGACACTCGAAGCCCTAAGCCAGTTGATCCTAAAGCATCAACCGCCGACCTTCAATCCCCATTACGGAGGTCGTGCTATTGGACATGTTGCCACAGTACGAGACAGGTGCCGAGGCCCATTAGAGCCCGTTTGCCTGAGTGGGCCCAAAGCCCCAAAGCCGAAACCTTAAACTTTAAACCATCAATCCTACCAGCTGCAGCTGCGTAAGCGACGCGAAGACAGCATCATGCCCCGGGGCCGAAACGGTGTTAGCCGCAGAACCCTAAGGCCATACGGCTCCAAGCTTTAAGCCCCAAAGCCCTAAAACCTTAAAACCTTAAGAATTACAGAATCCTGAACCCTAAACCCTAAACCCGATGAACTCTACCTAACTAGACCCTACCACCCAGGACAGGGGTCGGCATAATTTGCAAGAGCACCACCTTATAGTCCCCAAGATGTTTTATAGTTCAGTTAGAAAACCCTGTACTACTTAAATCTTACCTATGGTCTCCATTGTAGTTCCTTTTTTTGGTTAGCCGAATTTATATTAAAGTATCCTAAAATCCTAACCATAAAACAAACAAACTACAATGGAGACTATAGGTAAGGCCCCAGTATCACCCGACTGCATCTCGACTGCTTACATCGAGGCTCCACAAGGCGAGCAGCAAGACGAAGGGATCGTCCGCTTCAGTTGCGATCTCAGCACCCTGCGTTTCTTGCCGGACTTCACAGGGCCTTAGCAAAGTGGTCTCATAGGTGCTGTTTAGAGGACTATCGTGTTTATATAAAGCGCTTTTTGTAGACTTCATAAGAGTTTTATAAGGGGATTGATTTAGGCTTCAGTTTAGGGTGCAGATGTTGGGTGTACGGCTATTTTCCGTTCAGGCTTTAGGGTCTGGTAGACACGCCAGAAGAGGAGAGCTTTTGTCTTGGGATCCGTATATTTACAATGTATGCAATGTAAGTATGGTTGGGGTTGAGGGCTCTGGTTTTAGGTGGTCACAATATAGAGGCCTCAATACATACCTATATTACTTTGGGGGGCTCCGTATTGTAGGTATAGTATAACATATCCCAAAACCTACTCTAACTATTAAGGCCCCTACATTATTAATGCAACACCCTCTGGCCAGGCATACAGCCGAGATTTCCTGATACCCCGTCCCCCCGAAACCCTGACCCTCAACCCGCTGCCCATGCCTCGCTGTTAGGCGCAACACGCGCAGAGAAGCCGCTGGCTCAGCCGGCTTGGCCATGGGATTTCGAGTTTAGGTTTCATGCTTTCCATGTAGGGGCCTTAATAGTTAGAATAGGGTTTTGGGCCCCTTTATGGCATAGTTATACTAAGGAAGTAATATTGGCAATTGTTTAGGCTTTTATATTAGGGTGCGAACCCCCTGAACCACTGGACCTACCTCATGCTCATTAGAAGCTATGCAGACCCGACAGAAGAAACAGAGCAATGAAGACACACGCTGAACCCAGAACGAAAACCACTCCTCAGTGGGGGGGCTTTGCTTTGGCATGACCCTGGCATGGCTTGCCTTCACGACCATACCCAAACAGACGAACGGATTACACTGCCGGGGTTTGTAGTCCACGTTGCTACGCTGAGATTGTCGGCTGAGGGCCATGCACCCTGAAACCCTAGACTCCTACAGCAACCCTTTCTCCGAATGCCCTCGAAGTCCTAAACCGGTTGCGGATGCACTGGCCTCCAATTCTTTAAACCTGGGGCTGCAAACTCGAAACACCCTAAACACCGACGCATAAACTCTACCAGAACCTACTTTTTAGTAGGGTTCCTATCAAATCCATGTTCGGGTGTATAATAAGAGCCTACAAAAAAACTCGGTTTTGGTGGGTTCAGGTATGCTGGCTCTAAACTCTCTAGGATATAAGCTGGGGGCTGCAAACTCAAAACACCCTATATAAACGCCTACAAACCCTAAGCCCTAAACCCTAAACCCCTAAACCCTAAACCCCTAAACCCTAAACCCTAATTGGGGTTATAAGTATACCCATGAACCTTTAAGTAAAGCCGTAAACCCTAAACCCTACAGGAAATAAGCTGTGAGTCTTCAGGTGGGGCCTCGTCCTGGCCCCGGAGGAGCGCCTCCTCTGGGGGCCCTGCCTCTTCGAGGAAGAGGCCAGGGGTTTAGGGGTTTAGGAGTTTAGGGTTTAGGGCTTCGGGCTTAGGGTTTAGGGTTTAGGGGTTTAGGGGTTTACTTAAAGGTTCATGGGTATACTTATAACCCCAATTAGGGTACTCATAACTGTACTTATTACGTCCCATGAACCTCCAAGTAGGGTTTAGGGTTGGGAGGGGCGGGCGGTGAAGGGCTAAGACTTTCGGTGGAATTGCTGTGTATGTGTGTGGATTTTGTTCGGGTTGGGGTTCCGGATGTAGTACTTGGTTTGTTTGTTTGCTTGTTTGTTAGGTTTGAGGGGTTGAGGTTTAGGGTTTCGGGGTTTAGGGTTCCGGTCTTCGGCCCCAAACCCTTTAAAGCTTTAGACGGAACTCCCTCAAAAGTCAGACTTACTACAAGCCCATAAGAACCCATAAATTATTTCGTTCAGTGTTCCACCCTTGCAGAACCTGTTGGAGAACACTTTTTGAAACCTTGCATCACCCTTCATAGAACCCCAGGATGAAGTCAAGTTGAACTTGGGGGGATTTAGTAAGTAGTTATTTCATGGACTTGTACTTATCCTAGCCCCAGTTAGGATCCCTATTAGAATACTAACAAGTCTACTATTTAACCCAATTACTTACCCTAAACCCTAAACCCTCGTCCCCCGACCCTCCAAGCAAGGGCCTCCCTAGAAGGTCTTTCGCGCTTGGTTTCCGCATCGGCGTGGTGCACGGAACCTGAGGCAGGAGCTTCGCTGTATAGTTATGCAGGCGCCACTTGGAATTCCACTCCTTTGCATTTTGCTTGGCCTTAGACTTTTAAAACCATATTAAGGATGGTCTTTGGGGAGCGCCTATAATTCCAAAATGGTAGTATATATGGATATATATATATATATATACATATGGATTCTCTGGGTAAGATATCTTGACCTATAGCTAGGTTCCCAGTAGTACAGGTTTGCACTTTGTCCTTCTGTTGTCTTTTTATGATAACCAGACAGTAGGACCGAAAAAGTCATCCCTACTCTTAAGGGGATACTGCGCGCATAACAAAAACCTGTAAAGCCCTTTGAAATCAGGGGATCCCCCGAATATAGGGGTCTAAATAAGTACAAATAGCATTTTGGGGTCTCCTTATTATAATTACAGTATAATATACATCAAAACTCGATTCTAATTACGAAGGCCCCTACATTGTATAGGTGTGCAAGAGAAGGAGGTCATGTATCGCTTGCAGAGGCGACCCTCGACGCTGGCCACGATAACAGTGATGGCCTCAGGGGATTCAAGGCGTAGGGGTTTGGGAGTTGTCGCCGGTTTTGGTTCCGGGCTCATCTCGGGTTTTGCTTTAGGTGGTTTCGAACAGCAGAAACCATGAACCACGCTTCGAGTTGCGTTTTCGACGACCGGGTCGTAGCCTTTCCATCTGAAATCGTGCTCAGCAAACCCACAGAACACTCGCTTTAGAGCAGTTTGTAGTTCTCCCAAAGAACGTGGAAGGCGGAGATCGGGTAGAAGGTTAAAAAGCTGCCTCAACACAAGAACCCCGAAGCCCGAACTAAATCCTTGAACCCTCTACCCGCCCAGAACTACAGAGAACCTTACAGCGGCTCTATAGCAGTATGGTTTAGGCTCAGCCGCCAGGGTGTAAGGGTCTCGTTGAGTGTGCCCAGGGTTAAACCCTAAACCCTATAAACCCTAAATGATCTATTGGTTGTAAACGAAAACCAGCAAGTCTCCGAGGAATTGGGTGCTGGTGGGGGTCTGCCATTGATTTGTCTCTGCTCTGCATCCCGACGCCTCCACCCAAATCCCTAATCCCTAAACCCCTAAACCCTAAACCCTAAACCCCTAAACCCTAAACCCTAAAGCCTATATAAACCCCTAAACCTTAAACCTTAAACCCTAAACCCTAAACCCTAACCCCTAAACCCTAAATCCTAAACCCTAAACCTTAAACCCCCTGTCATCCAGTATGCCCAATCACTGGATGAGTCCTCAGGATCGTCGCCTCATCGTCGCCGGCTTGGCATTCAGAGCCCATGGCATATCGCCTTCCGGGGCTTGCAAGTTGAACGGTTTAGGGTTGAGGGGTTTAGGGTTTAGGGTTTAGGGTTTAGGGGTTTAGGGTTTAGGGTTTGTTACCCTAAACCGTCTTAGCCTGCAGCCCCATGAATCCTGACGCCGACACGCCATTGATGCTGCACGCTAACAGTTTAACTGCTAGGGGAATTCATGTGGCTCTTGCTCTTGCCTTCCTAAAAGGATCGAGTACCCTAACATCCAAATAGTAGAGTTTAAGATCAAAGAGACCTTTATACTCGGTTTGGGTACTTGTATGTGTATTCTTGGGCTTAGGAGGGCAAGATTTCTTGGCGTTGATTCGCAAGCTTCATGGGGTGGAGTTAGACCCTGAACATTTGAGCCCTAAAAGCCTGAACCCTGAAGTTCTCCAACCATTTCTAAAGAATCCAGTGCTGAAGTATCCGTCAAACCCCAGGTTTAGGGTTTAGGGTTTAGGCCTAAACCTCAATGGTGTTTTGTGGGGGCTTCTGCGTTTTTGGGCTAAGGATTTTTGAGTTTTAGGGCCTGGGGACTCAAGGGTTGGATTGATTCGGGTTTCGGTTTAGGGTTTATAGGGTTTAGGGTTTAGGGTTTAGGGTTTAGGGTCTAGGGTCTAGGGTCTATAGGGTTTAGGGTACTCTAGGTACAGGCGTGTAAAGGCTCAGGTGCTGGTAGCTCCAAGGCGCTGTTTGAATGCCTTTCAGTTTTGCATTTGGCAATGCATGACATGTGTGTGTCATTCACGGCCGCGGATTGCAAGATCTTTCTGAAACTTAGCCGGCAGAATTGTAGGATCCAGTGTTTGGGCTTTCTCGCGACGTGTTGGCTGCTTCGCTTATTTGAGGGCTTTCTTGGCAGCTCAGGTCATTCAGTACAGGACGGGCTCGCTTGCAACTACGTGCACTAGATGCCGATGGTGTCGGCAGCAGAGCTTGCCGCCCCAAACTCTGTACCTTCAATTCAATCCTTCAGTCCTGTGCCTCCAGGACGGCGCTTGTATATTCCAGGTTCGCCCTGGTAGCCCTGGGTATCTTTCTAAAGTCATGAATCTTGCTACATTGTGTTGAGACACGAGGGGTTTAGGGTTTAGGGGTTGAGGGCCCAGGTCTGTTTCGGATTGAAGGAAGTAGCGGGCAAACCCTTTCAGCGCGCTCCCGACATGCCAAGGTAAACTGAGGCGTAAACCCTGGAAAGCTTTTCCATACCGATATGGACGTCAAACGGCTGTTCCAAGCTATCTATCAAACCATCGAAACATAACCCCGTCCATTGCACTGACCCTGATTTTTCAAACCAACCTTCAACCTCATCCCCCTGCACACTAAACCTTAAAGGCCAGCCGTGAAAGCCCATGAGGCCCTGAACCCTTGAACCCCAACACCTAAACCTTAAACCCGGAGCTCTACCCCTAAGCCCTACACCCGAAAGCCTACGCCCCTTGACCCTGGAACCTGACTGAATCCCTTAAGCCCCCCTTCAAGGAACCCTAGCAGGAACTCTACCTCTAATGTGTGAATCTCTAAAGCCCCGGCAAGGAGCGTCGGGCCCCTCTGCTGTGGTGGTGTCTGCCACCGCGCTCCCGTATCTCGGCGATCTGATGTTTGGGTGCTTTTTGTCGGGTGTTGGGGGCTTGGGGGGATTGGGTTTGGAGTGGTTTTTAAGATTTCATTTTCGGGTTCCAGGCTTTAGGGCTTGGGTAGAAATATAGACTCATAAGCACCCTATTCCCAATTAAGATCCGTCTCAGGGTACCTAGAAGTCTGCTCATTTCCTACTTACTAAGCCCCCCGACCCTCCAGGCACAAGGGTTCTATCTTCTAGAAAAGCCTTGACAGGTGTGTGTGCTTGGTCCCCTTCGGAAGCCAACGCTGTAGACATGACATTGCAACCTCACTTCTCACCCTGCAACATGCATTCGGCCCTACACCCCAAACCCTAAAGGCGTTCAAAAAGACAAACTGGGATGAGTGGACTTCTCCATACTTCTCCTGTCCTCAGAGGCTTTAATTGCCGGAAACGACACGAGTCAGAAGCAGGGGTTCATTCACTGTAAAGCCGAGATTCCAAGCTTCAGAATCAACCTCCTTGGTGCGGAATTTCCTACTCCCTTCGGCCATAAGGTCGACAGCGTGCGCCGCGTCGGCATTACGACAGACTGTGTACGGCTGCGGATTTAGGAGTTCTGGGTGTGCTAGGAGGTCGGTAAAATATAGTATAGGGGCCTCAATAATTGGAAATAATAGGGCCTTGGGGTAGATTATATTGTAATGTAGCAATAAGGAGTAAGATGAAAGGAGCCCTAAATAAAACTGTTCCAACTAAGAATACTGAAGTACAGGTCTTTCCTGTTCTTGGTTCTTGTAGCTGCGTCCGACCTGAAGAACATGCTCCAGCTAAATCCTTGGCCCTAAACTTGAAATGCACGTGCTTGAACATCAGATACTCGGATACTGTATGCTTCAGATATCCTACCTTCCAGAACACTTATAGGACCCTATAGTAGCCAGTAATCCTCAGTAGGAGGGCTTGTGGCTCGAGACTCGGTGGGAAAGCAGTGGTATCATGACATGGGTGTCGGAATAGATCAAGTAATGAGTAATGTAAACCTTTTCATGTCGCGTAGAAATCTCATGAAACCCTGTTCTAATGACTAAGGCCCGCATATTAAAACCCGATACACCCCATTGGAACCCTTGAAAGGACCCTTCAAAGGAACCTCATGCCAATCATTAAGGCCCCTGTAAAGGAACTCTGTTCTAAGCAGTAGAACTGTATCACAAGGTACTGCTTTTTGACTTTGCAATCGTTGCAATCGGCTTAGATTCAGGGTTGCCGAGGCGAGGGTCTAGGGTTTGGTCACATGACCCATCCTTCGGACCCACAAACGAAAACCCAAGCCCTAGAGATGTGCGATCTTATATAGGGTACCTTCGGTCAAAGCTTCTTGCTGTCCTGATCCCCAACACCCACATCAAGCAGGTTTACATAGACGTTTCACAGGCTTGGGGGAGGCTGTTCTGGACAACGCTTCAGTTTCCAGGTCTGTTTCTAAACCGGTCCCTTACAGCAAGCACTACAGGTGTTCCTGAGAAGCAGCTGCAGACAGGCAGATCTCAAGATTCGGAGGGTTCAGAGCTTCAGGGTTGGAGGTTTTTGCCCCGGTTGGCGTGATCATCCCTTGATAGTCCCTATGACCGTAAAACCCCAACCATTGAACTCGCTTCTGTGAATGAAAGGCTCTCCTGGAGTGACAGCCGGAACAAAGGTCCTCAACAGAAACAATGCCAATCATTAAGGTTTCTGCTAGGAATACGTAGTATTGGAGTCTCTTTGCTTCCAGAAGCTGACTGGTTTGGGCAGCGGAAAGCAGGATCTGGCTCAGAACGAGGTGATGTAGACGCCTGATTAGTTACAAATATTATTACTTGGTTCCGTAGCATATCTATAACCCTGTTATCTAGCTACTAAGGCGCTTTCCTGCATGGACCTGTAGGGATCGGCTTCTTGGTTCTGAGTTGTGAAAGACAAAGCCAGGGCTCCAGTGCTTACAACTTAGAACCCTAAACCCAACGTCCTCATCCATCAACCCCTAAACCCTAAATCCTAAATCCCGAAACCCTAAACCCAACATCCGCAACCCTAAATCCTAAATCCTAAACCAGCCAACCCTGAACACCAAATGTGCCCTTCTGGCTTGGGGTTTCCCGGTGTGCGGCTTTGAGGGTGGGAGTCTCGAGTTGACATGCGATCATGGGGATCAGAGCGTGTAGGGTTTAGGATTTCGGATTTATGGTGAAGGGTTCAGAGGTATTCCGTTGTATTCGTACCTATATAACTATAGCATAGCATGCCTTAAAACTCGGAAACCCTTGTCTAGTTCGTAAGGCCACTAGATTACGGAGCGGTCATGCATGGCGGATTGCCACAGCTGCCGACAAGTTGTGCGTTTAAGGTATTGGTAAAAGCGCAGAAAGAGCTGAGGAGTATCATTCCGCTCAAGAACATTCTTGGATTCTGCGTCGAGGACGTAGGGCTGCAAGGTTTGAGAGCGTTTTAAGCTTTCGGGGTTCAGGGTTCAAATATTCTGTAACGGATCAGGGTTTTCTGGACTGTCCCCTAACCCCAATTGGACAGATGGCCCCAGCAATCGAAGTGGAAATTTCCTGGTTTATCCTATGTAGTAGACCCCTTAAAGGAGACACTTTTGAACCCTGCTTCTGGCTCTCTCAGAAGAGACCTGATTGAGAGGGCCTATATCATATATCCCCAAGGGTCCCCCTAATCCTATCTCCAAGTTTAGGGCTTGCGGCTTCAGTGGTACCATAGTGCGACCTGCTTCAGTTATGCGATGCATCCTGGGAGCCCAAATAGCTCCCAGGATGCATCATCACCTCAAAGTTTAGGGTTTGTTAGGGTTTAGGGTTTAGGGTCCCAGGATGCATCATCACCTTAAACCCTAAACCCTAAGCCTTAAACCCTAAACCCTCAACCCAAAACCCTAAGCCAAAATCCTAAACGACCCAGAACCTCGAAGCCTTCAACGTCCCACGACCCTGAGCCTTGAAAACCACTCGGGGGTTTAGGGTTTATGGGCTAATATAGGGGCCTGAACAACTACCTATACTATTTCGGGCGGGTTCCGTATTATAATTAGAGTAGAATATACCCGAAACCCCTATTCTGATTATGAAGGCCCCTACATTAGCCTCTTTGGGGGAAGGAAGGTTCCAATCTGGGGGCTGGTCTGACATGACATGCCCTTAGGGAGCGAGGTACTTGATAACATGGGCTTCGGGCTTTAGGATTTTGGGTTTTAAGGTTTAGGGTTTTGGGTTTAGAATTTAGGGCCAGGGTTTTCTTTGTAGAAATGGGCTTATCGGGCCGTGTTTAGGCTTCGGGATGAACGATCGTTTGAGGTTCAGAACGGTGTGGGGTACAGTAGACGCAGAGTTCATCTAGTGAATTTCCGAAGTGTTGGACATTGTGGTGTCGCATCTTTGACCAGCCTAGACCTAAACCCTAAACCCCGAGAGCCCCATATGAGTGTAGACGTTAGGGCAAAGGTGTGGGTTTCTAGAGAGCTTAGGGAGGCAAATGCGTCGAGTTTCTTATGTTGGTTTCGGAAAATGTCACGTCTATAGCGCTTCGAAGGCTTGCGGGACTCCAGACTTCTTGCTAGGTGTCGGCTTAATGTAGGGTCGGTCTGCAGGCCTCTTCGAGAGCGAGGCAAAAGCCGTGGCGAAGCTGGCAGAGGCAAAGGCCGTGCTCCATAGTCCGAGGTGCTCGTCCTCAAGACAGGACGAGTCTCAGGACGAGGCTCTGGTGCTTAGTCGGAAATGGGAGAATGGATCCCTATGATGGTCCCTTAAGGTCCCTTCTAGTAGTCCCTATAACCCATTCCCCCATTCCCTACTAAGCACCAGACAGGAGGTTTAGGGTTCAGGGTTTAGAAAGGTCAGGCTGAGTTGAAGCAGACGCTGGAGGCGGAGCGGGTAGCGGCGTCCGCCGCTTTGCCCAAAAAGGCGAGTCTGGAGGCCCGGCACCTCAGGGCCTACTTCATGTTGGCTTTCCGAGAGCAGACAGGATGTATAGTGCTTTGGTTTTAGTAACTTACTCAACCATATCAAACCCTTAAAATACACATAGCAAAGGCTGGTTCAAAACATCCCTCGCATTCAATCCAGTCATATTCTCGTTAACTGAAGCACCCTGCACCCTAAACCCCTACACCCCAAACCTCCAAGCCCCAAACCCTAAGCCCTAAACATCTAATCAGCAGATCGGGAAAGGGCCGTCAACAAAAAACAACTCTAGTCCGAAGCTCACCTCCCTAAACCCTAAACCCTAAACCCCAAACCCTAAACCTCGAAAGCCAAGCTTCCCAGGAGAGTTTTTCGCTCCAGCAGGCGATGCTTGCTCGACTGCTGTCTCGGGTGTCGAGCTTAGAGCAGGCTTTAGGGCCTAGGGTTTGGGTTTAGGGTTTAGGGTTTAGGGTTTAGGGTTTAGGGTTTAGGGTTTAGGGTTTAGGGTTTAGGGTTTAGGGTTTAGGGTTTTAGGGCTAGGGCTTTAGCGGCTTCGAGTTCAGCCTCGGGGTCAGGGTTTAGAGGTTAAGCCCTAAGCCCTAAACCCTAAAACCGGAAGCCTACACCCTATGCGGGCTGAGGCTCAGAGGGTTTAGCGGTTCAGGGGGCCCCCCAAAGTTTAGTGGTTTAGGGCTGAAGGGGTTCGCAGCTTACGGTTTCGGTTAGGTTTTATGAGTTATAGAGGTCCAGGGTTTATGACTTAGGACTTGGGCCTGAGAGAAGGAGTACGTAGAAACCGCGAGGAGTTCGAAAGCTCTTAATCCAGGAATGAATGAATATCATACTGATGAGCCCTCGATGTGTTAAGGTACTTTGCTTAGTCAAGGAGTTTTAGTTGGGTCTCCGGGTAAGGGTTTAACAGCTAAAGGGCCTAGACATGGTTGTCGAAATTGTCCAGCGCATGGGGCTGGGTTCACTTCAGCATGTGCTCAGGGATAGTTCGTTTGGGATTAAGTGCTCCTAATCCTAGACTCCATCGTTCGCCGCGTTCCCTCTGGTGTGCAGTCTTCAAACTGACCTACCTTGCCATGTGTGGTGCCTGGGAAGCGTACTTAGCTGTCCGAGAGAGTCTGTGTTTCGATCACTCTTAGAATATCCATGCATTATCGTCAGCCCTAAACCCTAAGCCCTAAACCCTAAACCCTAAACCCTAAGCCCTAAACCCTAAGCCCTTAAGCCCCGAAGCCCCTAAGCCAGGTGTGCTGCCGGCCTTTGTCGGAGAGCTCACTGAGTGTCAAGGTCCTCAGCAACGCCGGCCTTGGCAAGGCCGCGCCGTAGCTTCGTTCCCTAAACCCAAACCCTAAACCCTAAACCCTATATATAAACCCTAAACCCTAAACCCTGACTAGACGTTAATGATATGAGGTTTCGAAGAAATTCCTGAGGGCTCCTTATTGTGGCTGTGGGGTGTAAGGTTGTAAGGTCTAATATCCATACAAGGGGTCTGAGTACTTTGTCATACTATTCTTCTCGGCATTCGTTCGTATAGCTATACTCGAATATACCCTGAAACCTTGTTCGAACTACTCTATAAGGGTAAAACTCCAGAGCAGTTGGTCATCCCTCGCCACTCAAAAGAAGATGAGAGTTGGGGAGTTCGGCTCACTTCGGGCAAGCTCCGTTTTCCAGAGGTCGCACAACCGCAACCGATTCAACAGATTACTACTGACTAAAAGTATTCAACGAATCAGTAAGCAGTACCAGTAGCAGTGGTGGTGGTGGTGGTGGTGGTGGATCCGAGATACTTGAATTACTACTAAAGCCCTTCCCCCACATGAGGGCTTCCGCTCTGCATCCGCAAGGCATTTTGATTCCAGTCAGCCCGCATGATGCGACGGTACAATTAAGTGAGTTCTACATCTGAAGACAAGCTACTTCCGAAACTTCAACCTTTGTCAATTTCGGGCTTAGCTGTACATATGTTACACTGCCTAAAGCCGAACTCTCGACACCCCAACGGTCTCCAAAACGCGAGCACCAGAAACCAACTGGCCTTAGCCTCACAAGCGTGTTTGAACCCAGAAGCCTAAACGGGCCTCAACCCTGAACCATCCATTCCCCAAAATACCCTGAATACTTCAAGCCCTAAAACATCCATCCACACCTACATGATGCGCCCCGAAACCCATCAGGTGTACCTCGGCGCAATGTCTGTGAAGCAGCGGGCCGGGACACCTAGCAGATGGCTGAGGGTACCTGTAAAAGTTCTATAGGGTTTAGGGATTTGGGTTTAGGGTTTAGGGATTATAGGGTTGATGGGCAGTTATAAGTAGGTTTATAAGTAGGGCAATTAACTACATGCTTAGATGATTCGGGAACCTAGATTGTAAACAACCCATTCAGCGTAGGGCTAGGGTTTTAGGGTTTTACGCCGAGTTTAGGGGTTTTCAGCCGTTTACAGACCCTCAACTCGAACCTGCTCTTCTTCTAAGCAAGGAACCATCAAGCCGTAAGGGAACCCCTTTGAGAAGACCCTTTTGTAAAGGAACCCTGCTAATCTTATAGGATCCTAAAAACAAAACCCTACTTAAGGGAAACCTGCAGAAGACCCTTGCATAAAGGAATCTTGAAGCAAAATGTTAAAGGAACCTCGAACAACAAATTAAGAAGCGTTTAAGGGTTCTTTTAGGCCTTCACTTGGGCTCCTATGAGGGGCTTTCTCTAAGGGTTCCCCTCAAGGTGCTTCCGCTGCATGCCGATCCAGCCTGCAACTTTGAAGAGGACAAGGCCCGGCTTTAGCGTCTGGGGTTTCGGGGTTGTAGGCTTCAGGGTTTTGGGTTTGGGGGTTTAGCACTTAGGGCTTTCAGGGTTTAGGGGTTTGGGGGGTTATGCAGGGTTGTAGGTTGTTTTTTTGGGGGGGCTTATAGGCAGGAGGGTCTAGGGTTTCGGGTTAGGAAGCGGCAGGGGTTGTGGGCCCGGGGAAAGAAGTTCCTCGAAAGTCGGTGACCTTCATCCCCCCGGGTTCATCAAAATCAGTGTACGACCCAAAGTATACCCCGGTTTAGGGTTTAGGGTTTAGGGTTTAGCGAAACCTCACGCTCACTATTGAGGCCACCTTGTCCCTAAACCCTATAAACCTAAACCCTGTTACCCTTCTAAACTCGTAACTCGGAGCCTTAAACCTCCGCATTCACGTCCTCGCTTCAATGGGATGGTTGAGACGGGGGGAACCTGCAGGCAGTTTAAACAAGACATACAAAAACAGGAACCTCAAACCCCGGAGGGTTTCGGGTTCAGGGTTGTAAACTGCGAACCCTAAAACCAAAAAGCACCCTAAAACCCGAAATCCTCACCAGGTGCTGGAGTTGAGAAGATGGCTGGGCAATGTGGCCCTGTTCTTCAGCGATACGAGCAACAAGGCACAGCTGTCGGGCCTTAGCATAGGATGCCACCCGCACTTATCCGAGTGAGTGATTTTGCTGCCTTAAAGCCTTGAACTACAAAGATGCATATGATGTCAACAAGTTGTCGCCGGCATATATGAGGTTTCAGGCTCTGGGCGGCTTTGGTCTTGACCCAGGCTGCACTGAGGCACCCAGGTTTTGGACGGATCTGGGCTGCATGTGTCATACTGGCTTCGGGGTTTACCGATGGAGGGTGTAGGGTTCCTAAACGCGAAACCCAAGCCTGAACCGTGGTTGCGTTGTGGATCTGTTGTTCCTGAGTCCTGGCCGGTTGATCGAATGCTCTCGGGTTATGACTGTGAACCTTCCCAGCGCGTGTGCTCATGCCCCAACTGAGCAGCTTTGTAGACGAATAATTCTAGTAAGCTCGTGATGGAGCAGGATCGAGCTCAGTCATTCATCCCAAAACCCCTAGACCCTAAACCCTAAATCCAAAACCTCAAGCCGTTCATCATCTTCGCCGCCGTCTTTCTCGCAAGATATCTCCAGGAATGGAGTTCCCAGGTGATCTTTGCCTCATCATCGTAGGACCCGGCGAGGAGGCAGAGGAGGTCTTGATCAAAAGGCGTCTGGCGGCCGGAGGCCGCGTGCTTCATGTACTGACCCAGGGCCTCGGCGCCTTGGCAGTTTAGTAAAGGTTTATAGATTTATAGGGTTTATATAGACTGTTAGGGGTTTCGGTGCCAGTAAGTTTTGAGCGAAACGTTTTGACCGTAAGTTTGGAACGAAGCGTTTTGACCGTAAGGTTGGAACGGAACGTTTTGAGCAGGTTTTCCTTTGAAACCTGATTGGGGAACTGTTGGGGGCTGGGATGAGCTTGTTGCTATTGTCACTGTTGTTTCATTCGTATTACTTTAAACCTTCCTTTTTATGGTTTAGATCATTCTTAGTCTTATGCTTGTATTATTGTTATTGTTGTTGTCATTTTTGCTGCTATTACTACGACTATTACCATTAGTTTTGTTATTAGTATTATTCATACTATTCTTAGTAGTAGTGTTATTATCAACATCAACACTATTAATATATGATGTTGTCTTTTAGAAGTTTTTTGGTTATAACCGAGCGTGATCTTATCCGAGGTGACAAGCGGGTGTCGGTGGTAGCGTTTGATGACGATGCAACGGGCTGTCTTGTCTGGCGCACTCCAGCGGCTTGTGTTCAAGTTTCCTCCTTCGGTCGACGTTTGGGCGCCCGTACAAGCCACTATTGGAGCAGTACTGGACCAGGTGCTATGGTGTTAAGCGTGACGGATCGGTTAGAAATTTGTTCTGAGACAGGTGATCTGAGGCATGTTCGCATTTTGGACAAGGACGGTCTTGCCTACGTTGAGATGTCGGGGTCTGTAATACTGAATCCTGATATGCCCACGGCTCAAAATCACTGCGTTGATGTCACGGACGAGCAAATGAAGCCCTTCGGTACGTTCTCAGCCAGATACCTCATCCTAGGTAGCTGCTTGCAAACATGCCTGTTCTGCATGAGACTGCTTTGGTCTATCCACGTGGAGACAGGCAGGGCGTCTGAGATTTTCTGGGGCAGAGTGATCTCGTCTATCTATTCTTGCATCTGTTCTCAGCAGCTCTTGGTGGATGTCTTTGGAGTTGCATTTGCAGGTGAGAGGACCGGCTTGTTTATACAGTTTGTGGGTACTTTTGCAATTCTCGCGACTACGACACCGCTGCTGCTTTTGGGCACATCGCAGTTTTTCGCCGAGATTGCTGCTGCCTGCTCATGTCTTGTTTTGCCAACTCTGGTTCATTATTTCAGGACAAAACCTTCTGGAGCTAGCGCCCGGGACATCAGAATGACCTCCCTGTGGACGGTGGGCTTGGTCGTGAGCACGTTCGGCAACGTTGGCCTCTCCCTGATCATTGGCGGCGTTTACAACGTCTTGCTTTCTGGAGCCAACATTGTTGGAGCGACCTTCTTCTTGCCGATGGCCACATCCATCTGCGAGCTTCTATTTGTCGCAATCTCACGCGAGGCTTATTGCCGAGCTGCCTGGCCCAACCGTTGCGGAGGGACGGGCAAGATACCCGGAGATCAGCTATACATCCCTGTCACAGCTTCGGTGGCCTGCAACCATGCCGTCTCGGAGTGCATGCGCTTGGCTGCAGTTCTCGCAGGTGTAGCAAAGGATGGCAGCTTCGTCTGGGTGGGGGTCGCCCTGTCTACGTTGCTGACCAACATATTACTGCGCTTGAGTTGGTTTCGGTTCTTTCTCTTCCAGATCGCTCGAGGTTTATGTGGCACCTCTCTTGCAAGAGGACTCTGCGGTCCGAGCTCTTGGGTAAAGCTTCATGAGGAAATGAAGGTTTTTGTAGGCTATTTCCGGTTCGTTCCAGTCGTGGCCCTCGTGATTGCTAGGGCAGTCATGTATGGAATGAAGCCGTTCCATGATCCCCAAACCCCTGCCTTCAATTTTGCCACCAGCTGTGCTATTCTCGGGCTTCTTTGTACCGAAGTTCTGGAAGATCTTATCGTCGTGAATGAGTTGCTGCCGGAAGCCCCGGTTTTGCCGGAGATGCTTCGCGATCCGACGTCGGAGATGCATCCAAGATCCCTGCCCGTAGCAGAACGGAGGCACGGTGATGCATCCGGCGACTTCATGTCGGTAGTCTGCGACACGGAGAAACAGGTGGGGGTTTCCGAAAATCGGGGACCCTAATATAGTACCCTAAATAGTAGGATCCTTATTATAAGGACCCCAAAATAAGGTACCCTTATTTTCGGCAACCCCCAGGTCTTCCACAAAAGCATTGCATATAGCAGGGACAGCACGACATGGGGAGGACTTCGAAGAAGATTGGGCCAGGTTGGACGCCTGGTGCCCGCTCCGGTGCTCTACGGCTTGCGAGAGTGGCCTTTTGGACTACATTTCACCATCATCGGCATCTTTTGCAACATTATGTTAGGCATGATGTGTGCGTTTTTGGGGTCGGGTTATTTGAGAGGCTTGCACGCGACGCCTTGTCCTCCTGCAAGGCTCTTGCAGAGCTGGTTCCTTGAGTCAGTGCCCTTAGCATGCTAGTGACTGCTAGTGCAGAGGCGCACCTGGCTTGTTTTAGCCTCGGAGTCCCTCAAAGGGAGTATGTCCGACCCGGTTTCCTGTAGTGTTTGCTCAGTTTCGGTGTTTTAAAGTTGAGGTGATGCCTGGATCGTCCTTGACATGTTCGACGCTGTTGATCGTTGTTGTAAGGGAGCTACCCATGGCCAATGCTAAGCTGCCACATAACTTGCAGGACTGTTGCAGGAGTACCTGTCTTGGTTATTGGTTGCGAGATTAGTCCAGGACGACCGGCCACTCGGCATGCATCAACTCTTCGTCCGTGCGGACGGCGAAAATGGCGGGCTTCAGTCAGAGTGCAAGGCTTGCGTAGCTCTTTACTTCCGGGGGCAATGGTTAGCCTCGAGAGTGAGACAACCTCGTGGCCAACCGTTGGTGCATTGGGTGCTTCGAGTGAGCCATTCATGGCATCAGGTTGCTTTTTTTTTCGAGCCCGCAGTCGTAAGATTCTGCATCAGGTATCTGGCGCAGGAATCTTCTAGACTCGCATTATGACATCGGTGGGCTTGTCACCACAAGCTCCAACTGGGTGCTGCCTTAAACAGAGGTTATGTCATGTACCAAGTCTTGAATCGTCCTGAAGCCAGGCAGACTCAGAACCCATCAGCTCGAAGTCCACGTAAGCCTCAAGCTTTGCATAAACCGGAAGAGAGCAACAGCCTCATTTCGAGTCTCAGCCATAAACCCTTAGGTCGGTCAAGGTGGGTTTAGGGTTTAGGGTTTAGGAGTTGCACCAGAGATTCTTAAGATCATTTACAGATTCAACATCCTGAGCCCCGAAGCGTAGTTACGTCCTTAATCGATTTGGGCGCGTACTGCCTAGATGTGTTTGTGACCCCGGTAACCCTACCCGGCGTTCAGTAAGACCCTAAACCCCAAATCCCCTAAACCCCAAACCCCCTAAACCGCTAACCCCTAAACCCTAACCCCTCAA